TTGGCTGAATTTTGCCCAATAGGATCTTTGATGATTTATCAGTAATGGTTGATGTTTATGTTGATTAATTATTACTGTCTGAAAGTGAATCCTGTGGGAGAATATTATAGGGTTGGTTCAAACAAGTTTTAGAATTTTTTTCCTTAGCGCTAATGGACCCTAAGGGACAACTTCAATTCATTGAACTAAAAGTTTTCAATGTTCATAACCATTTTTTAACTATCAGAACTCTCTAGACCACATTATATTCATGATGAATTTAAAGAATATCGCTGTCAAAAGTTGAGTTCTCCTTCAATTTAGCACTTTTTGTCATTACCTTAAAGACCATACGGAAAGTGCTAAATCTACGGAAAACTCAACTTTTCACAGCGATATTCTTCAAATTTATCATCAATATAATGTGGTCTAGTGAGTTCTGACATTTAAAAATGGGTATGAACATTTAAGGCTTTATTTTCCTTAAATTTAAGTGGTTTTTCAGGGTCTACGGTAAGAAAAAAAAGTCTAAAACACGTTAAAAGTTACTTGAACCTACCCTATAATGTTGAGCTATGACTTCAACTTTCATGAACCCTTACTTGTGCCTTTCAGCTTGATTTCGCTAAATGGAATTATTTATGATTGAAGTCGTGGTTGAGTTTACTATGCTGATAAAATATCATTGGAAACTTTAGGTTTCACCATCATAGTCTTCTAAAAATAACCATCAGCATTACTGCACCAACCAAAATCTAGCCCAAAAAAAGAATAATTCGGCTGAAAAAGTGGGAGAAGTTGGGATGTGCAGTCTCAAAATAAAAATACCTAGCTGTGATTGGACATAGCTTTGCTTTCATTGAGACTTTCAAATTTTATGAATAAAAAACAGTAAGCGTTTAGCAAAAATAGTTAGTTTTGTCCTTACCCGTAGACCATACAAAAAGAGCTAAATTGAAGGAGAACTTAGCTTTTGACAGCGATGCTCTTCAAATTTTTCATATACCTATACAATGTGTTCTAGTGAGTTTGGATGGTGAAAAATGGTCAGGAACATTTAAAGCTTTATTTTCCATGAATGTAAGTTGTCGTCCAGGATAGATTCTGACGACTAGATCCTTACTAGAGTAAAGAAAGAAAGTCTAAAATTGTTAAAAGTCACAGAAAAACGCGAAAAAAGAAAAAATTCGGAAAAGGAAGTCAAATTTACATAATAATTAAATTAACATAAAAATTTCGTAAAAACTATTGGAAATGCGAACAAATGTGTTTACGTAAAAACTGTATTAAAAAGAAAGTTAATTTTAATTATGAAAAATAATCTTGGTAAATCAATTTCTCACGTAAATTTGACTCAAAATTCATTTAAAAAACAGGGCTGGATTTACCTACTTGCCGCCCATGGGCCGGATTTACCTACTTGCTGCCTATGGGCCGGATTTACCTACTTGCTGCCTATGGGCCACCTGTATTTTGCCGCCCCCTTCTCATTCGTTTCAAAACATCAATAAAAAACAACTTAATCGGCCCGAAACAGTAACAGAGAAACAACTTAAAACGGGACTAAGGCTGCAAATAATAAAAAGAAACACATAAAATATAATAAGAAACCCGGGACGTTTCGCAGGGATCACACCCGCATTTTCAACCGGCAAAACAAGAAAAATTAAAAGAAAGGACACTATGCCCCTCACTACTAGCAAAAGTTCGCACGGAACTTTGCGCGAAAGTTAAGTTCCGTAAACCTATCTATGTGTGAACAAGGCCTTCAATTTGTAAGAAATGAAGGTAAAAATTATGCAAGAACAAACATAAGTGTGGATTAATAATTTTAACTTCCGCCGGCGCGCCGCGCTGACCGCACTGTGTTTGGCACAATGCGTGAAGTATTCGTTCAGTCTTGTAGGCGTTATGCGTTTCACGCCGACCGCCGCACAGTGGATTGAGTCAATTAGAGGGGTTGGACATGAAATTTTTGACAAAAACTGCAAATGTTGATGTTTATTTCGTCACATTTTAAAGTTCAAGGGGTGATACTGGAAGAAAATATCACGAGAAAACCAGTGGAACAGCTTGCAGAACATTAGGTTCTTGCATAAACGGAGTTATGAGCGTTTTAAGTTCCCAAATTTTTTCCGACCTCTCTCATTGACTCGATTCACCGTGCGCCGCGCTGAGGGCTTCTCCTTTTTATCTCAAGTCCTCATCATCACTGCTGCACCGCTCCATGCCAAATTGCTTGTTTAGTTTCTCTCTTAACTCGACTAATTAAAGGTGCTGTCTCTTGTGTCCTCGAAAGACGCTTTCTCGTTTGTAATTTTTTTTTTCTGAATCCGATTTTTTTTAAACCTACATTTTAAAAAAATGCAAAATTTGCCGCCCCCTGCGTTAAGAAATGAGAGATGCCTTACTCCATTACCCAATGCATCTGACGAGTTTTTCAATTCAAAAAGGAACGTATGACACTCCACAAATAAATCACGTTTGAAGCGCAAACCGGATAAAACACGATTTGTCAAAAGTATTCATTAAGTGTTGCACTTTCCACAGAAGCATATTGCACAAAAATGTCACTGTAACGACTTCCGGATATGGTTGCGACCAACTTAAGGCTCAAAATTTTGATTTGTTCGCTCCCTAAAAAAAAATGGTCCATCTCAGTAACTGTGCTCACCAAAACTGACAAAGATCCCAGGGTCACAGGCTGTCCGTGGTCTCATTGTTCAGGGTTGAAATCCTTCCTCTTATTTAATTGTTTTTTAAATAAACCTATGCTAGGACACTATCCCTGAATAACAAACAGACCAATTTGGCTGCAATGCTCCGAGCCCTGCACGTGTGAACTTGAGTCATTCGTTTTTACGACTTTTCCGAGGGTCGGTGACCGCTAGCCTAGCGGGGCCGCTGTGAGGCCCGCTCGGCCGCGATTGCAGCCTTGGGCCCCGCTTTGAGACCCGCTCGAATGAGGCTCAATTTGGGCTCGGGCTTCGGGTGCGATTATTCTATCGTCTAGCGACTGGCCACTACGCGGCCCAACCCCTCGAAGACACTCCGCGCCACCAGACTATCCATATTTTAGACCAAAATATTGTATCGATATTTCAACGTTTATATATCGTCCGTATCGATACATTTATCTCCAGAAATATCGAATCGATTTTTCTTTCTTTCTTCTGCTGAGTTGTCCTCGGAAAATCGGAAATTATGGTCAATTTTTCATAGTTCGAATTTCGGATTTCGCTGGCCAGGTTGTACAGACCTACGTCACAGGGTAAACAAACCTTAAGATGCAAATACCTCTTTTTTTTCTCTATGTAGGTATAGGACTTTTCGCGAGGCTGCTCGACGGTTTGTTAATCTGTGGAGGTTAAGCTACATTCACGCGTCGCAAGCAACCTGGCGCGTCTGCTTCTTGCTACTGCGAGCGCGCCTTCATTTCCTCCCGCACGCAACAAGGACAACCGCGATGATAAAGAATTCCATTTGGCGAAATCGAGCCGAGAGCAGGCACCACGAGTACATACATATGGGTTATTTTAGTGATGGGTGGGATTTTATTTAAAATTCCTATGAATCCTAGGTTTAGTATTTACTGTAGTAAACAATTATCAATTATTCCATCACTTCTTCGGATTATTTATTTTTAATCAATCTATATTCATGTGAAGTGTAGCTCATCTGCATTTTTCTTTCCCTGGAACCTAAATGAATATTATGAATTTGAATCCATCAGAAACTAAGTCAGTCAAAATCAAATTTAACTACATACGAAGTGAAAACGATTTGTATTTCGCAAATCAAAGTGATAGTTAAAGCAACCAAACTGTGTCAGAAATGTTCCCAAATTACTGGGTAAGGCTTTTATCAGCTCATCATCTGATCCAATAATTTTAATTGTGGCATTTCATTCGGCATGTCGCCGCACGACTTCTATGATACTCAAAGTCTCACATATATAATTTGAAAGGGGGGGTCTGGGGGGGCGGCGCCCCCTCAGCAGGTAGCTTTTGCTACTTGTTCTTAAAAACCGACGACCTTGCCTCAATGTGAATCTCTGAAAATCATGTCAGAGTTTCAAACGAGCACAAAACATGCTTTGACTTTGCAAATTTTGCCTAGTTTAGGCATTGAGCTTGAACACAGAATATCAGAATGTACAGGAACGAGCGTCTAAATCAAGTTTCAGGTTTGTTGCTGAATTTTTAAAACACTATCTTCCAGGTTTTCCAAGCTTCTCAGGAAATTATGACACATTGTTGGATGCAAAATAGAATGAATAACAATTTTGTCAGGTTTTCATATAATGCCCACCAACTGCCAACACACTTTTAAGCGGTAATGCAATTTTTGATGACTGTGAAAAAAAAACGGCCGAAATGTAACATCACTGGACTCAAACTAATATTTCTTGCGTGGAAATTGAAAAACCGTAATTTTCTGCGGTTTTTACGAGAAATACATGCTTTGCAACTGCTTTTTTGTGAATGTTAAATATTTTAAAAGTAACGGCTTTTAAAAATGGCTCTGTCGATTCCCTTCGGTTTTCGCCTAAACCCAGCCAGATGTAGGCCCAGAATGACCTATAACTATATCACATAGTCAGGTGCCAACCCTGCTGGGTCACTCTGAGGCCGTTTTGCACAACCCTCTTTAATTGGAATATGAAGAATTTATGTTAACTCTGTATTGTGTACTCTGATGATCATCGCCTCTTGAACGAAAACCCCCCGGGGGAGGGGAGGTTAGGCTGATCGGCTTCTGTGAAAACTTTCTTCTGGGTTTATCAGTGTTGATTCATGAAAAAGTATCATAAAGAATGCTTAGTTTTCTTATTTTTCTCACTTTTTTCATCTATCATGTGAGATCTTCTTGGGCTTTTCTCCAATTTTTTTCCTTTTATTTTCTCTCTAGGGAGCCATGACAGTTGATCAAATCCGAGCAGCTGAACAAGAAACACAAGCTGTAATCAAAGGAAACAAGAAAGTGTATGCCAAACACATTGACCTTACAAACGCCAAGAAAATCAATGGTCTGCGTGCAATGTTTGATGAAGTCTATCCGGATCCTGTCAGAGTGGTGTGTGTAGGAGTTCCAATTGAAGAGTTAGAGTCGAATCCTGAGAGTGATGCTGGAATGAAGACGTCAGTTGAATTCTGCGGTGGGACGTAAGGAAGAGGAAAGCGTATTATATGTTAAAAAATCGGTTGTAAAAATAACAGAAATCCCTTTGTTGATCTTATATACCTCTCGCTTAAAAGCATTATTTGCTGATGCCAATCTGAAACGAACAAGGGTAATAAGTGAAATAGATTGCCATGAAAGGGGTACGTGCGAAACGGGCCATTTCACGCTCGTGTCGCATACCATTGAAACTTGCCCTATTCATTCATCTAACAATGCCCTATGTTTTCCTAAAGTTTCAAGTCCCCAAAAAATTTTGGGGGGGAAGTGGAGGGGGGTCAAAGTTGAAAATCCGCGAAATTTTCGCGAATTTTTTACTCGAAAACTACTATATATTTCGAAGCGCGGTTTAAACGAGCGTTTTTAGCGTGAAAAGAGCTTTCAGAAAATGTATAATATCATAGGGTTTTGTCGACTTAAACTCGAGTTATCGCCTCCAAAGCGCCGGAACGCTAAAAAATGACCCGTTTTTTCGTCACGTTCGGGCCGATCCCCAAAATACGTCATTTTTAATTTCTTTGAAAAACTGATATGTTGTTCCTGACTCTCTATGGCACCTATTTGTCTTTACCGCATCCTGGGGAAATGTTTTGTTCGCGAGTTATAAGCGCGGAAAGGAGGGAAAGTCGGGAAAATCGGCTATTTTGAACTGCGCGCGTCGCATGGGTCAGAAAGAGAACGCCCCCTCCTGCTCAGTTCTGGGAATCACACTCCTCGTGCGTAGACTTGCCTCGCTACGCAGCGTTGTCACACCTACCCCGGCTTGTGCCAGAGCTCGTAACTGAATGGACTCTTGTGTTACCGGCTAGATCGATGCTTTGTTTCCTCAACTCTTTTTCGCGTGATGTCTGAAAGTTTATAATTTTCATATTTCTCTTTACCACCACTCATTCACATAGCAAATTAATTAATTTCAAGAGTAAAGTAGGTATTAGCAGTAGGAGAAACGTAGAGGAAGAATCATGTATTTACGACATATACATTTTTAAAATAATAATGTAAATAAAAATAAACAAAAGAAAATTTTTGAATTTGAAAAATAGTGCCCCCCCCCTCACCACCACCCGTATTCAAACATTTTTGCTTGGTCCATCTTCGATATTAACAATTACTGAATCTCTCATATTTTATTATTCTCATTGAACCATTTCAAGAAAATACCTCCCCCCCTCATATACATTGCGTATATATTTCCTTTTATGTTGGCAACAAAATTTTCTGAACACCCCCCCCCCCCATCTTTAAAAAACCAAACTGGAATGAAGATGCTCCTTTTCCTCAGTAAGGTTTAATTTATTTGTACTGAGTAACATGTATTCATAGGGATCACATGTAAATCATTACGGAAAAAATTAATGTTCAGTAATTAAAATGCAGAGAACATATAGAAAAAGTCCAGAAGTGTAACTGCTGTGTGAGGTCTGACGCTGAAGAACGAATAATGAATGCACGCATGCTTTACAGAACCAGAGTACACTTGGCAACACTACAATTTCATGCTAGAACTCTATACATGCTAGAAAACAAGTATATGTCTGAGGAAAAATATATATCAGAGAAAATAAAAATATATCTGAGAAGAAAATATTTTATATTTGCCCTACGGTTCTGATGCCATACACACGAATATACGAATGTAGTAAATTGTTCGTAATGAAAATGAGGTGAGGAATCCCATTTATCAACGAATCAGCATTTATCCACCTAGCAATTTAGGCTCTCTAAGAAGTACATTTAAAAGGAGACATTTCATACTCGTAGCAGATACTTTTAAGACTTGCCCTATTTATTCCCTTAACAATGCCCCATATTTTTCGAATGTTTCAAGCCCCTGAAATTTTAGGGGCAAAATTTCGGCGAATTTTTTACCCGAAAACTAAAAAGTTCTGCACAATTCGATTTAAACAAACGATTCCAGCGTGACAGCTTGACAGTTTTGTCAACTTAAACTCTAGTTATTGTCTCCAAAGAGCCATAACGCTTAAAAAAGATCCCTTTTTTCACCGTCCAGGTGGACCCAAAGTAGCCCATTTTTACTTGAGATGTACAGGGTGTCCAGAAGTTAACGTACTTTACTTTCAGGATCGATTTTTTGGCTCAAAAAACGACTATTTTGTCCTATACACCTATGACCGAAAATGCTCCATAAATGATCTTTATACTTCCAAAGTTGCCATTTTTTTTCTTTCAAATCGATGTAACTCCTCGTTATTATGTTGTAAGTAGCTGAAACTTCTCTAGGAGGTTATTTTTTAACGTACTGTTCGTTTTTCGTGTCTTCAAGGACGTACGTCTTCGGAAAATGACGTTTCGAGCGTTCCCAAGCTTTAAAATTTCGATAACTTTTTTGGTGGATGCCCTTTGGAAAAATGGATTACGGATACGGTAAAATTGCCTACGGAGCAAGGGGCTTTAAAAATCTCGAAGCTTTCGCAACGGCTTTTGGTAGCCCCTTGCTTCGTAGGCAATTTTTCTCCCAGTCCGTGCAGAAAAATTGCCTATCCAGCAAGGAGCTTCGAAAATCTAACACTATTTCTATGTTTTGTTGCGTCGAAATGGAAATTGCATCTGAAAAATTTTGTGCAGTATCTCGTGCCCTCGATTATTCGCGCTCTTTCACGTGCTGTAATTCGTTTTTTCAAATAGCATCTACCAAAAAAGTTATCAAAATTTTAAAATTCGGGAACGCTCGAAACGTCATATTCCGAAAATTTACGTCCTAAAAAACACGAAAAATGAACAGTACGCTTTAAAATAACCGCCCAACCCAAGTTTCAACTACTTACAACAAAATAACGAGGAGTTACATCAATTTGAAAGAAAAAAAATGGCAACTGCAGAAGCGTATAGCTCATTTATGGAGCGTTTTCGGGCACACGTGCACAGGACAAAATAGTCGTTTTTTGAGCCAAAAAATCTAACCTGAAAGTTAAATACGTTAACCTCTGGACACTCTGTATAACTCATTTGTCATTCATGACTCTCTAAGCCCATCTAGCTCTTTACCATATGCCGTGAAAAATTCGTTGCTTGCGAGTTATGAGAGCAGAAGAGAGCATAGGTTGGGAAATTCGGCTGTTTCAAAGTGCGCACGCGGAGGGTTTCTCGAACGCAAGCTCAGGATTGCCCAGTGAGGGGCTCTCTGAGGAGCTACTCTTTAACTTTGAAGTTGGGGGAAGCGTTTTTTTTTCTCGAGCTTCTTGGGGAAATATTTTCTTTCTCTCCCCCTCCCCTAAAGGAAAATTACCTTTCCCCCTAGAAAATATGCTTCCCTGTAGGAAAAAAATTGTGCTCCCCACCATCGTAGAAAATGTCATAACCAACCCCCCCTCCCTGAAAAATTTTTCCCCCCAAATTCAGATTCTTCCCCTCCCCACTTTGTTTCTCCACCCCCCCAAAAAGTAATGTATTCCCATAAAAAATTTCTTCCCCCTCCCCATAAAACATTTCTCTTGAAAGTAATGATTATTCCTGATTCTGATTGAAAACAAACATATTTGAAATGCGTTCAGCAAAAAGGAACCAAGCCACATCAGCCATTGCACAATTTAACTGGGAAATCAAATTTTTTACGTAAAAACGGTTGTGCGGATTTTTGTGCAAGTATCAGTGAATTTTCTAATTAGTACAAAGCAATTACCTCAAATAAGTTTTCAAATAAATCCGCCTAAACGTTCTTTTGTAAAAAATTGAATCGCCTGGGTAAATTTGGCAATAGCTGATGTGGCTTGGTTCCTTTCTACTTAAAGCCGTTTATTTGCTGTGTATTCTAGGTACCAATACCAATCATACCATTTGATTTTAAAGTTTTTCATTTTTGGCTGTACATTTCATTTTTAAAACAAGGTGAAAAAATGGAGTTTCAGGAGAGGATAAAAGTCACTGAAAGCGCCTAGAATTGCATTTTAGAGGTCTTGAAATTTCAAAATTTTACTGGGGAGGCCCCCCTGGACCCACTGCTGAATGAGTGGAGTCACGGCACATTTAGGAGGGAGCATCTCTACTTTTCGGGAGGGGGGGGGGAACTTCTATCATTCACTGCGATGGGGGATGGGCACCACTGAAGCAGAAGAAATTAGTTTCAAAGGATAAAAATGCAGAGAAAATCCTTGAACAGTGCTGAAATAAAACTGCATTGTGTGAGGTCAAGTAGCGGAGCACTACTAGACCTCACACAACACTCACTCAGAATCCAGCACCTATTCAGAATCAGAGGACACATGGCAACACTGAGGAACCAGCCGAGCTGATCGACGCTGCGCGTGTAGTTTGAAATGGTTGATTTCCCCAACCTTCGGTCCTTTCCACTCTCATAACTCCTGACTAAAAACTTCCCTCAGCATATGGTTAATAGCTAGGGAGGCTACAGAACGTTGGGAATCATGCATCAGTATTTGATGAAAAATAAAAATGGGCTGTTTTGGGAATTAGCCTGGACGTGAAAGAAAAAAGGTGTTCTCTTTTAGTATCCTGGAGCTTTGGAGACAATAGTCGATTTTAAGTTGACATAACCCTATGATGTTATGCATTTTCTAAAAGCCCTTGTCACGCTAGAACCGTTCGTATAAACTGCATTTTACAAAATTCCCTAGTTTCTAGAGAAAAATTATCGGAAATTTTGCCGATTTTTAACTTGAACCCTCACCCATGTCTCCTTAAAAGGGGTACGTGCAAAACGGGCCATTTCCTGCTCGTGTCGGATACCATTGAAACTTGCCCTATTCACTTATCTAACAATGTCCCATGTTTTCCCAAAGTTTCAAGTCCCCAAAAAATTTTGGGAGGAAGTCGCGGGGGGTCAAAGTTGAAAATCCGCGAATATTTTGCTCAAAAACTACTAAATATTTCGAAACGCGGTTTAAACGAGCGTTTTCAAAGTGAAAAGAGCTTTCAGAAAATGTATAATATCATAGGGTTATGTCGACTGAAACTCGAGTTATCGCCTCCAAAGCGCCGGAACGCTAAAAATTGACCCGCTTCTTTGTCACGTTCGGGCCGATCCCCAAAATACGTCATTTTTAATTTCTGTGAAAAACTGATATGTTGTTCCTGACTCTCTGTGGCACCTATATGTCTTCACCGTATCCTGGGGAAATGTTTTGTTCGCGAGTTATAAGCGCGGAAAGGAGCGAAAGTCGGGAAAATCGGCTATTTTGAACTGCGCGCGTCGCATGGGTTAGAAGGAGGACGCCCCCTCCTGCTCAGTGCGGCGAATCACACTCCTCTGCCGACCTCGCATTGTTGCCACATGTCTCCTGATCCGTCGCCGCGCGCAATTTAAAATAGCCGATTTTCCCGACCTTCGCTCCTTTCCGCGCTTATAACTCGCGAACAAAACATTTCCCCAGGATACGGTAAAGACATTATATATCGACGGTGAAACTACCAAACCACGTATCTCGGTTTGCGACGTCGCAGACTTCCTGTCATACTTTATTTTTTAAATGAAAAACTACTTAACATCCAGTCTTGAAAATTTCTGTGATTTTTCCTCTTTGTGCGGAGAAAATTCCGTGAAAATTTCAAGGAATGATATTGATTTTTTCTACTTCAAAAAAATAAAATGTGAGCGTAGATTTTGAAAAATTAGGGTTTTTTTAAAAATCTAACGTCAAATTCGTTTTTTTCGTGCCAAAATACCTCCAGATACCGAGTTTCAAGCAAATCCATGTGCAAACAGCAGCGGTGCCAATTTTCGGTCATTTTGAACTTTGACCGGTCGCCATTTTGAAACGGTTTGAGATAATAACTTCGGGTTTACGCGAAAATTTTTTTTTTATGCTCTTTCGAACGAGGTATCACAAAGGGGGTCTTCCCATTTGAAAAAAAAAAGTTAGGGTCCGTAACCCCCCAAAGAAAGGCCCCCCAAAATTTTGGGGGGGTCAAAAAGTAGCTTTCATTGACCTAGGACTACCCCCCAAATTTCATTTTCCTACCTGCAGCCGTAAAAAAATTAAACAGGGGTCCCGGGACTTTTGCCGCACCCTGTATAGGTGCCATAGAGAGTCAGGAACAACACATCAGTTTTTCAAGGAAATTAAAAATGGAGTATTTTGGGGATCGGCCCGAACGTGACAAAAAAGCGGGTCATTTTTTAGCGTTCCGGCGCTTTGTAGGCGATAACTCGAGTTTAAGTCGACAAAACCCTACGATATTATACATTTTCTGAAAGTTCTTTTCACGTTGAAAACGCTCGTTTAAACCAAGTTTCGAAATATTTAGTAGTTTTTGAGTAAAGAATTCGTGAAAATTTAGCGGATTTGCAACTTTGACCCCCAGCCATTTCCCCCCAAAAATTTTTGGGGACTTGAAACTTTGGGAAAACATGGGGCATTGTTAGATGAATGAATAGGGCAAGTTTCAATGGTATCCGACACGAGCGTGAAATGGCCCTTTTTGCACGTACCCCTTTTTGGGAGGCTTAAAACTTTGAGAAAATAGGGGGATAAATTGAGTTTTTGGTTGATGATATTGCATTCTCAAAGTTTGTTTTCCATTTAAAGGAATGATACTGAAGAAATCTTAAATTAAGTATTATGAAGAAATTTGATTTAGCTTGGTACTGAGTGTCAGTGTGTTTTTCACAATAAAACAGATTTTAGCTTTTTAAATGTAGGTCTTTAATGAATTTTAATTCTTCCAGACATGTTCACTATGCTGGTGATATTGGCGACTTTGTTATCACAAATGAAGAAGCCATAGCCAAAGGAGTGCGGCGGATTATTGCTTTGAGTGGTGCAGAAGCTACTAAGGTAGTTACCATTCAGATTAAAATGTGTTCCCATTATTTGTTATCATGCAAGTTGAATAATAAACGAAGTATTCATTTCATTCAAAGCTGGTATCTCAGTAGTAGGTATGTTACAGCAGATATAATAGTGCTAAAACACATAATATACAGGGTGATCTAGGGTTAAATGGGCAAACTATAGGAGCCGAAACACCCCCAAACTCCCTCTTTAAACTGACATTTCGATTTTTTTTTAGATCATTTATGAATTCAGAGCATAAAAGCACAGGGGAGTACAAATGTCCATGAGATTTGGTTCACAACCGTTGCCAAAATTCAGGAAAAACGATTTACTTTCTTAAGTTTTTTTGGGGGGGGGAAGGGGGGGGGTAGCTCCGACTGGGAGCACTTTGAAAAAACTTTATACCTCAAGAAAGTCTCATTTTGACCTATAGAACACGCCCTTGCAGTCAAACCGTTTTACCCTGTATCACCCTGTATATTTAAGCCATTTATGAGTGTGATGTATAAACTGATATTTCTATTATGTTCGTCCAATCAGGTGGGTTGCAAGCCTTTTTCCTCCTGCTCAATGCAGATTATTTTTGAACGCAAGATTATTACAGCATTACATACTTTTTTCTAGTTATTTTCCAGATCATTTGTTTGATTTCTTTCAGTTTTATGTAGACTCAGCAACTTTTAAGATTACTTTAGCGACTTCTAGTCTAACATTAGCAACTGTAAGTAATATCCCCTCAGTAGGTCATCAGTATCAGTAGGATATTTTGAATAGACACGTTCCGTAAAGAGTTTTTTTGCATGTTGTCCCCTTTTCCTGCATATAATCATATTCTTTAGATGTCACTTACAGAAAATTCAAGGGTTCTAGAAAGTTCCAGGCCCAACTGCTGCTTATTGCCTTGTGACATCTTTGAGAAAATTTTAGAAATTTTGGGATAGGATGCAGAGAGGAACTGCTTCACCATCTGCTGCAAAACTTGCTGCTGTTTTTATGGATGGTGGAGGAACAGAAAAGTGAGGAACAAAGGAACCGCAACTGTAGAGCGAACAGAGCCACAGCAGTGCTGGAGAAAGGAGTGTGGGGGTAGAGCAGTGCAGGAAAGGAAAGGGCCTAGCTCCGGAAGCTAGAGGCGGCTGCATGAGGCAGGAATCCCCACCAAGAATTACCGCTTCATCTAGCAAGTGGAGGTGGGGGAAAAAAATTTTTCGGTGCGCAATCATTTTCAGGTTTCTGCTTAAATTCTATACATAGATGTATGTGTGTGTAACCCATATTTTTCCCACTACCTCAGACTGCCTTCTGATCCCAGACAAGAATGTTTAGCAGGGTTGCTACAGTCAGGAGAAATCGAAAAATGTCACCGAACTTCTAAGTCAGGGAAAACTTGGAAATGACCAGGTAAACATGGAAATGTCAGGAAAAATGACGAAAGTGTCAGGGAAAAATTGTGAAGTCATCTTTATCTGCTTTCTAGAATGGGGTTGATGTTTTGAAAATGACGTTGCGTTGAAATTTTGCATGAAAACGTTGTCAAATTATGTCTTTTAACCATCAGACATACCCTTAATTATCAGGAAATTTTACCAAAATGTGACAGAAAAATCAGGGAAACGTCAAGGAATTTCCGTGGTTACCCTCCTTAAGGTCTCTCTCTGGTAAGTATGTTGATAAGTGTATTACTAGAATTCCCTTTTGAAAAGATGAATAACAAGAACTGCATCATTTGATGGTGACTAGTGTGGGTTTAGGATCTCAAAAAGCTGTTATCAAAGGAAAATTTGCAAGAGAGCTGGACGTGGTAAGTATGTTAAGTTTTATAGTGAATTGAAATTCTTAATCAACATCTATCTAGTCAGGCACCATGAGCATTGCAGATAATTTTTTCTACTAAAACAGAGAGGATAAGCAACATACAACCATCCTTGAAATCGCAACTTGCCAAAGCCCCTAATAAATACATTGCACAATAATTTTGCGCTGATAATTTTTTTGGGCGATTATTTTGGCTTCTTGAATCACAAGAACAGGCAAGAGGGAACCACAACTAAACTTTAAAATGATAATATAGCAGCTTTGATGACATTTTTGCCCTCAGCCCACAGGTAAGATATTTTAAATTAAATCGCAATAATTTGATGGAGCGATTACGTTTCATAGTAATTTATGCTTCCCGGGCTGGATTTCTTAAAACAGGTTAATTCATCCATAAAAAATTAATTTTTTAAAATCAGTATTCTCTCCTAAGCTGAAAGCTCAAAAATGAGTAAATTTGTGGCAAGCAGAGCTCCTAAGGAGTGGAGAGCAAAGGACAGGGTTGGACCAAATACCATCTTCTTTGCAAAGCCTCGCTTTTAGATCTGGAGAGAAACTTCGCTGGTGAGTCGACTTAGGAATGAGAGTTTAACCCAAGGCCTTGCTCATAAGAAAACTTGCCAAAGATGAATTGACCAAAACCTCATCCTCAAGATTTTTCCATGGTCAAACCAAAGGTCAATGCCTCTCCCTGACTGAATTAAAGGAAAATGCCTCACCACCCTGCTAGCCTGGTCGTGTTTCTGGTGATGCAGTAAGTTTTCGCCTCCTTTTGAGGGACTCATGCCAAAAAAACCAACGTTAATTCCTCATCCCTGCGTTTCCTAACAAAGAATAAGACTCTATACCAAACCCTTGTGCCTCAGCTGTCTTGCCTTGGAGGATGCACATAATCCTGATGTTAACAAAGTTGCTCTCAATATGTAATGGTCTTGGGGATGGGGAAATAGCCCGACTCACGATGATGTCTAGAATACCCTAAGGTGGCGATCACCGGCAAGTACGCATGTGCGCAACTGACCACTCCTTGGCCGCTTGGCCGCTGCTATATAGCGGTGCCCAAAAGCTCTAACCCTGACGCGGCACGCGCCTACCAAAGCACCTGCCTGCGATCACCTCGGAAATACGCGATCTCTCACGTATGTCCGAGGTGCTCCTAACAGAGGCGTACTCTCAAGCTAGAGTGCGTCGCTACTACAACAAAGGTTTTGCCATATCCTCCGCTCTTGAGGCCTCATAGCAAGGTGTGAATTTAAGATTTGGCCATTGTGCTCATTTTGATTGCAAGCAGTTTTACTTGTGGAATAATTATTCTCTTAGCTTTGGAATAGTTTCGTAACATGCCGTGGTTAAATGCAGGTATTCTTCAATCCATCAGCCTTTGACCATTGTTTCCAAGCAGAATTCATCAATCATGATAGCTTCAAATTTTCTCAGCCTGAGATGGAAGTTTTATTCAATTATCATGACAAGACTCTACTAACCTTTTTTTTTTTTTTACTAAACTCAATTTTTTTCTCCCTCTGTTTCATGTAGGCAATGAAGAAAGCTGAACTTCTAGAAAAGGAATTAAATGTTTTGAAAAATAAAGTTGATCATGTCGGTTCTGACGTAAAATCAACCAATAAAGAAATACTGGATCTGACTGATGATATCAATCAAGCACTGATATCCTACTGCAAAAAGGTACTTGTTTCTTTTTGAGCCTGAATTTGATTTTTAGAGACAAAAGAAACTGCTACGAAAAAATTGTTTTAATTTGAATATCATCATGAGTTTCGAGCAGGTCCAGGACGTCCACTATTAAAACATGAAGTCAAAGAATAACTTAGGAAACTCAATTCAGGAAAAATATTGAGTTAGACTAATTAATCAACAGGAAGAACCCTCAATTCAGAGAATTTTCGCATTTTTTGAAATTAGTGTAGTGACAATGGTAAAAAATTTTAAGTCGCATTTGCCTGACAGGGTCTAATGCTGTATTCTGTATCCCTATCTCATCTTAACTTAGGAAACATCCAGATAAAACAGAAAATTATGCCAGTTTTCAAGCACTGTGAAAAGCTGAAAAATGCCTACAACATAAATGAAAGGTTGCAGTCACCTTGTTAAGGATGTCCAATATTCTTGGAAATATTTTATTTGTTTTTCAAACAGAACAAAACTACCCTCTTTCGCCCATCTGAATCATTATACTAAAATAGTAATCTGCACTAACATGACTAACACTGTACTCCAGGAAATTATTCCTGTAAGAAATGCATTTCTTCAGGCCGAAAAAACCCTTCTTCCCTCTCTTTGATGCAGAAGCAGTATTTTAGTTGCGTTTCTACACTCTGATTGGCTTAAAAGATTGTATTTGTCAACATTTTCAGGATGAACTGAGGAAAATTATAGGTTGTATGAAGAAAAAAATTGATGATGCTGATAAAAAAGCGAAAGCTGCCATAGTGTCAATCATTGTCAATGAAGCCAAAGAGCTTATAGAGGAAAAGCCAAACGAACCAGTGATAGTTGCTGAATTTAATGCAGAATCAAATACTAAGGTTAGTTCTCTCTCTTCAATCCATTTTTAACATGAATGCATCTAAGCATGTGAAGCCATATCTGTATGAACAGTGGTTTTCAGACATCCGCCATTTTTAGGATAACACTTTTTTAGAATCTGCTACACTTCAAGAATCTTGGTACCAAGTTTCAGACTTCTAGTGAAGTTTCTCATTAAGAAATGAATAAAAAATCGCCCTATATCTAGAAACAGAGTATGTAAGAATTTGCTGTCTGTCTAATTAAATTGATAAAGCTCATTAATATCCTCAAGGATCATGTAAATGAGCACATTGCACAAGTAATGCAAGTGAATAAGACCTGTTGCATGTAGTCATAAAATTTCAAAATGTTGAATCTCTTTTTCTATCTCTGCTGCCGATATTCATGTCATAAAATTGTTTCATAAACATTACTGTAGCATTAATTTTGGCAGTAATGTAGTGATAACATTTTTGCAACCACTTTTTGCCAGGTGGGCATAAAATAAAATGAAGTTCAGCATCAAAAATTGATTTATAGGCTTTAAATTTTTGAAGTTAAAGTCCAAGATGAAGAGTTTCTATTTGATACCCTTTTAACTTAAAATTTGGAACGTAGACTGGATAAACACTTGAGGTTTGCATTCAAAAGTGTACTCTCTGGTCCTTTTCAAAGATGTACCTACAAGGGTCGTTCTAAAAGTAAGTTATTTAATTTCTCCAAAAGTATTTTAGCTAGAGCAAATCTGAGAAAACGTGCTTACAGAAAATATCTTCAGCTTTTCAAGGAGCTATAGTTTTTTTTTTTTTAATTTGGATCAGTGGTTGTTAAGATATTGAGGTTTTCCCGCATGCACCTCTCCGGGGGTCCAAATTATCGCACTGGTGAATTAGCGTAAACGTCCGGGACTTTTGACGTACCTAGTTTTATTGTTGCATGATGATGCACGGCCACATGCTGCAGCAAATATTCAATCTTTGCTAAATAAGTTTAGATGGGAAATTTTCCCACACCCTCTATAATCGACGGATTTAGCGCCCAATGATTATCATCTGTTTACACAACTCAAGTCGGTCTTCGACGGTAAGCACTTCTCCAGCGATGAAGAGATCAAAAATGCTGTTGATTCATGACTTAAAAGGCAGCCGACTAAATTCTATGCACAGGGAAATTAAAAGCTGGTATTGCGACATCAGAAATGCTTAGACATTGGAGGGGACTATGTAAAAAAATAAGGTAATATTCTTCTGGTGAGTCATTTAATTAAAGTCACTTTTACTAATCGAATAATGCCTGCTCCAATAATGCAATAATTTGGACCTGCAGAGTGAAGAGGTGCGCATGGGAAGACCTCAACAGCTTGGTAACCAGTGATCCTAATTAAAAACTAAGGGAGCAAGAAAGTAAAAACTGAAGCTTGTTGGAAAGCTGAGACGTTTCCTGTAAGCAAGTGTTTACAACTTTGTTCTAGTTATGATACCTTTGGAGAAATTAAGTAGGGAAACTTACTTTTGGAACGACCCTCGTATGTACCACTCAATGGATTTGAAACTAAATTAATTATAAGGATGTCCAAGGCCAACAGTTATGTCTGGGTACTACTACATTAGAAAGAAGTCAAAGCAAGCTGTCAAGCATCGGGAAAAACCGGAAAATAACAGGAATTTTGGCCGATCAGGAAAAAATTGACGTTTTATCAGGAATTTTTCTTACACGAATCTCCTCAGCGTGGAAGTCGTACTGCTTTTTGCCTACCTTGCCAGGAGTCGTCACGCCGTCTTTGTTTCCGATAATTTCTCACCCATAGCGTTACAATAAATATTGTTTTTACGAGAAAAATCAGGAAAGTATCAGGAATTTTCAAAATGAAAAAATCAGGAATTTTTTATGAAATATCAGGAAAATATCAGGATTTTTCAAAATTAAAAAGTACTAGACACCCTGCAAAGGCACTGAGACACCTGCTACCTATTCTTGAGGCTGAGGCGTATCAGATAAAACTTAATCTACTTAAAACTTTTAATCACTGATATTGGTCGTATGTTCCACAGGCATTGAACTCAGCTTTACAGCAAGTTAAGTCCTTGTCGCCGGAGACCTCAGCCATGTTCTTCACTTTTGATGATACCACTAAAAGGCTCTACTACTTATGCTTTGTTCCCAAGGTAAAATCACCCACCGTTAATTCAAGTATTTTCAATTCAATTGAAAACATTAGCTTTTAAAATCAAAGCGTTCTTTTCCTGAAAGCAAGTAATTTTACCATTTTATTGATTTTTAAATTTTTTTGAACCTGTGAAGTTAGGAGAATTGGACCTCACTGAGAAGTGTGTAAGTATCAACAGTAAGAGTTATGATAAAACACCTGTGTGCTAAAGTCCAAGCAAAATAATTTTACGGATTGTTAAACTGCGATAGAAAATCCTCCATCTTGCTTCTTGAATTTCCTTTACAGATACAATAACATCAGACGATCTTCTGTCGCAGTCTAGAAGTATGTAAACTTATTTGGTGTGGACAACAAAGGGTATGTAAAAGCAGCCCGAAACGGAAACGACAATCGAAAACACAGGAAAAAGCGGAAACAAGGCTAAAAATACAAAATATAAAGGCAGGACGTTTCGGTACCTTACAGCACCATTATCAACTGCAAAAAGAATTAAAAATAAAAAGAAATTAAAATAAAAACCAGCAAACGGCGTTACATCGTGAAAATGGTAAATGCGACTGCAGTGATAACAGAATAAACAACAAACAAGGTATGATATGCAACAAACATCGGAAAACGCTAAAAAACTGATCACCGATGATTAAGAAATAAATTGCACGGGCGGCCGCCAGGTGGCAGCAGTTCACGGCGTGCCAAATAAGCCGAAATAGATCAAGCCTAGACGATTTATATCTGAGCGGGAATTACAAACGGAATCCTGATTTCTCAGGATTTCAATCATTTCTCTTATTAACCTAGGATAATATTTCTTCTCATGGCACAAAATCCTCACGTTTTCGAAGTCAAACTTATGTAGTAACTGATCTTCATGGTTGTGTAAAGCTGTCACCTCCTTCCTATTATACTTGTGTCCATTTAAGCGTTTGGCCAAAAGTTGTTTTGTTTGGCGGATGTATGAAATATCGCAATTGGCACACGGAATCTGGTATACCACACCACCAGATTGCAATTTAGGTGTGTCAGACTTGAGTTTTGACATGAGGAACTCAAGGGTATTATACTTGCAATGGACAACTTTATAACCAAAATATTTGAGAAAACAATCCAAATTTTCGGATAGAAAAGGTACATAAGGGAGGGGCACGACTTTGTCGACCTTGAAAGTGTCATTCAGAGATGACACGTTTAAACTATCATCACTACATTCGACGTGAGTAGTGTCATTACTCTTGGTGTTTTCTCTATTGTTAGTCTACTGCAGTTACTGCAGTCTCATTTACCAATTTCACGATGTAACGCCGTTTGCTGGTTTTTATTTTAATTTCTTTTTATTTTTAATTCTTTTTGCAGTTGATAATGGTGCCGTAAGGTACCGAAACGTCCTGCCTTTATATTTTGTATTTTTAGCCTTGTTTCCGCTTTTTCCTGTGTTTTCGATTGTTGTTTGGTGTGGACTCTAATATTCTAGGAAAAAGAGAATGAGTCACAGAATCATTGTGACTATGATTTGGTATACAATGGCGGGGCCGCAGATCAACAAACTCAGCAAGGAAGAACCGTAATAAGCATGCAGAGAGGCCTATGTAAGTTTACGGATGCTTGGGAGGCTGTCATCCAGCGTAGTATCAGCATCAAGAGTGTACAGTGTCATTGATGATGCCACTGTTATGAGCAAGGACTAATTTTTTTAAGATCGGAATGATATAATCCTGAACGTTGGTTCTGGTAAGGAAGCAGTTGTTATGGATGATTTGAACAGCAGGACGGGACAATGAGTTATTCAGTCCGGAATTATAAACTGAGTGTTAAAAAAGAAAACGAATAATAAGTGAGCAATGGTCAAAAACCGCCAAAAAACAGTTTTACATAATGGCAGCAACATTGCAATGTGGTTAATTCCTTTCTTTTGAACTAGGTACATGTAATCATTGTAAATTTCCATCGTCTTCACTTCATTTGTCAATATATGGATCGATAGATGGAAAAAGGATGCAATGGTCAAACACCGCGAAAAACGCCAATGTCTGCTCTTCTTCCAAAGTTTGGCACCCTCCAGCGGGTTTAATATTGCCTGGAGCAAAAAAATGCATTATCAGGCCATAATCTGCCATAAAAGCCAATTTTAGGCCACTTCTGCCAATTTGGCAACTTTTCGGTCCGCATTTTTTGGTGCAAAGTTGAAATTCGGATACAGCGTCTAATATGCCTTGAGAATCACGGCAAACATTGCTATTCAGGATTCTTGCAAGCTCTTTTCCTTATTTGCCTGGACTATGAAGAAAATTAATGTAAATAAACGTTTAATCGTTTAAAATGTTATTATAGCAAGTGAATGTACCCAAAATTTACTGGTACAGTGGTGCATTCCACCGCTGCCATTGGCTCCTTGCAATTGTCTCTTCCTCTCTTCAGCGATGTAGTAGGTCATCTATAGTTCCTCATTATCAATTCTGTGCTGAAAACGTTTAATGCTGTTTCAGGATTCCATTGCCAAAGGCTTAAAAGCCAATGAATGGATTCAAGCTGTTTCACAAGAAATTAATGGAAAAGGAGGAGGTAATATGGAAACGGCTCAAGGATCAGGTGTTACCAGTCTTGATGCAGTCGCTAAAGCTGTCAATCTTGCTAACAGTTTTGCCAATCTCAAACTCGGACTCTAGCTATATCTGAAATTTTCAAAACTGATTGAAAACTGCTTTTGCCTATAAATTTACTCTCTCATTTGTTTCGCCGCTTGAAAATTGCACACATTTTCTCAAAAGCCTTTTTGAAATCTTACACACAAAAGGAGTGCATTCAAAATCGGCAAAATCCCCCTCTTCTTGAATGTTGACCAAGTTTTACCGAGTTATTTCGTCGTAAAGAAAATACCCTCTCTATTGAGGGGCGGTCCATATTTAACATCAGTTTTTTTTATTTTTCTAGAGCCTCCCCGCTACAAGGTACATGTCAGTCTTTGCTAGACCCCCCCCCTCTCCCAATTGAATTTTTTTCTTTTATTAGTATGATCAACTTGTAAAAAGTGTACAACCACCCCTACTGGGGTGTCATTGAAAATCGCATCAAATCTGAGTCAACCCAGCTGCTTCTTGTTGCTCATGAAAAATCGGCACCCTGCACGATTTTGATCGGAATTTTCAATTCGGAGAGCTTCAATCTTGTCTACTTAATTGTTATGTGAACTGGTTCTGTATTTTGTGAGCAAATAAATACAAATACATAATCAATCAAATTTTCAAGTTCTCCTGTACCTTTCTTTTAACATTCATCAACCCAGACCTAATTTGCCTGACTTTCAAGAGAAGTTTAGGTATTGAAAGACCCATGTAATAGAAGACTTTGATTACTGCTGCCCTCTGTCAATGAGAAAAGTAAATAATAGGAAGGAAAGTGATTTTTGGTCGGATTCAATGTTCCTGTATGTAATTTCGAACCAAAACGGACCAACAACACTGCAACGACAGTAGAAGAACCAAGTTTAAATAATTTCACGATTTTCTCCAATGATTGATGATATTAAGGTAGCCATTGATTCTCTACCTGACCTTCCTTCCACACATGAGAAGGAATGTCGAGAGGCACAGAGCAAATGGCACTAGGCAACGACATACACCTGATAAGGGAATTTCCTATAAGCGTCAATCTGCTAAAATACAAAACGAGAGACATATCATCAAATTGTTTTACCTTCGGTTGATGACCTTCAATAGAGACAGACATTAACATATATTACAATAAATCAATCACCATTTGAAAACAGGACAAATTTAAAGCGAGAGTTAGACCCTTCCTTCTGGAGGGAGGGCCAAGAAAAACTTAAAAATGCCCATTTTACTACTTACAGGTCTAAGCCCCTGAATGAAACACATTAAACTCACGAACTTACCGTCTGCCTGATGTTGATGGATAACCTGATGTGTCACTGAATATACATTGGACGGGAAGTTGGCACATATTGTGCCTTAAAAGAGATGAAATATGTGCAACATCAGCAGCACTGCACATGTGCGATTTGTAAAATTTCTAGGGATGAGGTGTCTGAAGCTCTCGCTGAGCAATAAATTAGCCAGCCAATTCAAAAGTGAGACAGAGGATAAACTGTGAGGGTGCCTTTTTTAAGTCAGTATTGAATTGACGGGTGACAGAGCTGTCGTCCCACAGGATGCCCAGAGTGCTTGTCAAAGGAGGAGTGAGTATCGTTTTGGGCCTTTTCCGGCCCCACCTGGATTTTGCTGAATGTTTCATATTTTCAAAGTACTAGTCCTAGGTAGACTTTATGCCAAATATTTCATGGAACGGAGCCCATGTAAAGTAGTCGAGGTGCCTGGTAAGTCTACCTGGAATTTCGGGTAAACAGCGATTTTTTTGGCTTACTTTAAGTTTTTTGGGTCACTGAATCCGAATCTGAGTTTCCTACCGCGTATCTGGTGAGCATTTTCCGCTATTTTGAAAAAATAGCCTATAAAGGCCTTTTTTTGCGGGTTTATTGATATAGCGGCTACGCGTGAGAAAAAATCCTGGATTTAGTTAATGTTTTCAATAGCTGCTGTAATTTGCAAGAAAATGGTACATTAATGTGCTAGGTTTGCTCAAAAATTGAGGAGCCTCGGAACTCGAAACTTAGGGACGCGGCAAGCCGGACCGCGCGTTGACGGGTGTCCCGCGAAAACGTGAATGGGCGCCATGTTCAAGATGCTGTATCTTCCTCAATTTTTAAGCAACCCTAGCATATGTATACACCATTTTTTTCCAAAATATGTCAGCTATTCAAAACATTAACTAAATCCGGGACTATCTCTCATGCGTAGCCGCTATATAAAAAAAAAAACGCAAAAAAGGCCTTTTTAAGCCATTTTTTCAAAATAGCGGAAAATGCTCACCAGATACCCGGTAGGAAACTTCAGATTCGGATTCAGCGACCCAAAAACGTAAAGTGAGCCAAAAAACCGGAGCGGAGCGAAGCGGAGCGCCGGTTTTTGGTGTGTTTTTTTTTATTAGTTTAAGTGTCCGGCCTCAGTTGTTCTGTCTTTTAAGTGAACCGCGCGTCTACCGCGGGAAGAGTGTATTTTCCGAAGGGAGGGGCGGGGGCGGGGAGTTATCAATCTTTGGAGGTTGGATTTACGTTTACACTGTTGGAGGCATTGATTATTCGAAAAAGGACTGCATGTCGCCAGATTGTAACAACAATCCTCATGTAATGTCTGATATGAAAAGATGTCAACAAACGCTGTGGCAAGCTTGAATGACGATCCCAAGTAGCATGGATTGCAATTTCATTGCAATGGATTGTGAGTTGATTGCAATTTTTG